TGTTAATATATAAAATTCATCAGGGAGTTGAAAGTCAATGCCTCAAGCCTATATTGCCAGGGGGCTTTGTGTGGTGAGAGAGATGGCCTTTAAGTCAATTGTGGCTGCAAGTAATTGATTCACATCATTTTCACAATTATCTTTTGGTGAGAGTAGACTCCTCCACCTTGGTGACGGACTTGCTCTGCTTTAACTTTATCAAGTTGGTCATGTACACAGGGATAAACTATCCTCAATACTTCATATTTCATTGGTAAGAAGGAAGTTCCATTCAGACAATGTCTTCTCAAAGACTAACTGGAACAGACTCTCAAGATGATGCTACTCTGAGAATTGTAATCTTAACCTTTTCCAGGGAGTTTCATCATGCCAAAATTTGGTCAAAAATGAAGAAATCTTTTTAAAAGATGTTATAATTTTTTTCATGCATATATAAATACACACACACACACACACACACACATATCCATGTGCATATATGTGATATGTCCCAGAAAGGGATATATTTAATCAAGGTAGCTAAGTGGTTTTGGCTACTATAACCAAGTAGAATATGGTAGCAGTAATCGACTGGTACGTGTCGTAGTCACAGGTAAGAAGTGTAGATCAATGGCGTAGTCCAATGGGCCTCGTTATAGACTTAGCTCTCAGACTAAGGCTTTGACTCTCCTACACGTCCGTCGGTATTTATGACAGACACCAGCCAATCATATTCCAGTGAGGGGAACACAGGTGTATGCATATTCCATTATATCAATGTGCATGCACACACACATATATACGCACATATATATATATATATATATATATACACACAAAAAAACATTATGCCCCACTCACATAACAGAAGGTGCAGAGTGACATTAAAGTTACCCTCATCAAAAAGAGAATTTTCAAAAAATTCAGTTTCACCTGAGACTACTTCTATTTATTTTACACTAACACCTTTGGGAAAGGCACAAATCCATTTTTCCTTGTGTTCTATCACATTTACAGGGATTTTGACAATATGTCTTATTACTGGCATGTCATATGTGTTTGACAGAGAAGATAGGGAGTTGAGTGAACCAGTCCACCATAATTACTCTATCTACTGAAAGAATAGCAGCAAAATATTCCAATTTTCAGTCCTGTAAAAAAAAATCTTTTTAAAAATTAAACTGTAAAGTCAGCCACTTGAAATAAAAGGATTACTTATATCTGCATGTATGTAGACGTGGTGAAATGACAATTTGTGACTGGGTCCAACAACTTTTTCACCAATTTAGGTTTCCTCAGTCATTCCTTGATGTTTTCCTAAGTGACTTTCAGTGCTGCAAAAGATTTGCATTTCAATCCACATGAGGAACATGAGAGTTTACTGCTAAAAACATACACTCACATGGATGTTTCTTATTGAAATGGTGAATTAATCCACTTGATGACTGACAAACCTTACCATAGATATTGCATGTCAAACCCTGATAAACATTGTAATTGTACATATTGTTGTGGTTTGCATAGTGCATTTTCCTTGCATTTTTCATCTCCAATACACGCACGTCGGTGGGGGCTACTGAAATGAGTATTCTGATATTTGATTATTGAAATACTGATTTTTGAAAGCAATTCATGCCAATAACTTATTAGCAACAACTTGTGTGTGTGTATATATATATATATATATATATATATATATATATATATACACAACAAAATAAAGTTTGAAATGATCATTGAAAATAAGACCACTCAGAATTTGCAGCCCTCAATATTTACACGAAAAGGAAAAATATACTGAAAATACTTTCAAGACCTTTCAATACCCTAACTATTTCATACTCAATTAAAAAAAAAAGATCATAAAATATTCCAAAGCAGAAGAGCTGTCCTTCTTGAAAAATCCAGTGTATCAAAAAAATATATTCTACCCACTAACTCTATCATAGCTACAACCAAAAAGAATTTATCTAAACTTAACATAGAATTTGTCACAACTACATCTAAAACAATAAATAAATTAATCAATAAAAAACTACTGTGGGAAAAATATCTGCCTCATCAGTCATGTATCGAAAGATATATGATTGCCTAATCGTGTATCATGTATGCACATAACTGACTGATATATATATATATGTATGCATATTTCTGTGTGTGTGTGTATATATATATATATATATATATATATATACACACACACATATATATATATATATATATATATATATATATATATATATCCACATACAGGCCTGTTTCACTGTATCACAACTCATCAGAGACTCAACCAGTTTGGCATCAGTTGGCATTTCTACCCCTAAGCTATCAGTGTATGGCAGAGGGAAAGAGAAATTCTGGTGCATTATTTTTACAAATGTAAACAAACGCCAAAAAGCCATAGTGCTCAATTCATTTTAATGAAGAGCGTTGCAATAGCTGTTTAGAATTACTCTCTCTTTCAACAGTGCTCAACCGAAATTATCGAGAGCATAATAATATCATTCACATACATGCCTTTTTCACTATATCACTGCTCATCAGTGTATGTATACATATATATACATATATCTATATATATCTCTGTGTGTGTGTGTGTATATATATATATATATATATATATATACAAGTATATAATTGGTATATACGGAATGAATTCCAATAACCAACAATTACTATTCTTAAAAGAGTGCTCAATACAAAGTAGAGCAGATATAATTATTATTTATAAAATATTATAACATAAGTATGTTATAAAATCACTACAAAAATAGCTATTTTTGTAATGATTTTATAACATACTTATGTTATAATTTTTTTATAAATAATAATTATATATATATATATATATTATACGCTGGGTTTTGCCACACATTTTGCTAAAGATAAGACAATTTACTTTGATTATGTTTTTTAATAAGTTTTTCTTTCTAACAGATTAGATTACTTATCTTGGTGTTAAATTTTCCATAGTTTGTGTTGTTAGTTCTTGTTAAGGCTCCAAGCTTCAACTAGCTTCAGCCATTGTCAGTATGTGCATACTATCTACATTATTCAGACTATTGTTCTCATCTTTGTCGCCATATTTATTACAATGTTTCAGCTGTTGTATGCTCTGGCCTTCTTCAGGTGGTTGGAATGTCAAACTGAACCCTTTATTTTGTTCACTGGGGTAGACTGTTCTAGTTCCACGTGCCATGTTTAATGGATGTCAGTTATCTCCTGTTAATTTCCCTCTGAACGTTCTCTACTGCCTTAAGCAGGTATTGAACTCACACTCTTTGGGTCCTGTCACTGGATCTAACTAACACCTTTATCCACTGTGACATGTGTCTTTGACGACATCTGTGTATGAATTTCTGGGTATTATAAAAACCTAATGTATTCAGCAACCGTTTTTACCAGTGCTCATATTGCAATTTTATCATTTCACTCCAAGCAAGCCGATAATGTCACTAGGATGCTAGGTGACATGGAGTGAATAAAAAATGAGAAGAATTTAGAGAGGAGAAGTGAAAAAAAGGATGATAAAAAACACTGATCTGGATAAACAGAATTTGTTTCATTTAAAATTTTGAAGATTGTAAGTACAGGGAAGTAAGAAATCAGAAGGTAGATTGGCAGAGAAGTGCAAGAAAAGAAATTATTAGAATAGAACAGACAATTACATAAACACACACACACACACACACACACACACACATATATATATATATATATATATATATATATATATCCTACTGTAGCCTCTCACCATTTCTCAGATCCTCAGTTTTTCTCCAGAACTTGTTCATCCACTACATGTTTTTTTACAAAAAATAAAAAAAATTTTTTTCTTAAATAGATTTTCATAATCAAATATTTTTCACCTAATTTTTCTTTTCTTTTTTTCCAGGTAAACAACCTTTAACACTATCACTTTGTGCATATAATTTTTATATCAGAATTTTCTCTGATCTTTCTTTTTGCTAATGGCACAAAGATTTTGGCAATAAAATTTACTTTTATACAAGTTTAATTTCTGCCATAATTGTTTGTTCAAGCCTCCAGTATAAGAACTATTTACATAGAATTTACATAGTTTTTTTGTTTATAACTAATCTAAAGATGATTTAAAAGTTATGAATCATTGGATTAGTCTATAAAAAACAAACTAATTTTAAATATCAATTTGGCATTGTATATCTCAGGGGTAGTGTGTCAGATTTAGTCAAGTCTCTGCTGGTGAAAGGCCAAGATTTTTACTTAATCATGACTTCTTTAATGTCTAATTATTTATCTCAAATCAAGAAATTTATTTGACGTTTTCTACAGTCATACCCACCTAAATCATCACAATCAACATTGACCATAACAGCTGTTAGGATGAATTTATATAATATTAACTAATTAAGAAAAAAAAATTTATTTGTTATTTAATTTCGGTCAATAGCACTTAATTACTTATAATTAATAGCATCCATTTATAGTTTGCATAATTTTTTTAATCCAGTAAAAAGCCTGAAACAAAATATATTTGCATACTTAAATGTACATAGCCACAATTACACATGTAAATTATATATGCCTATATATATATCAATAAAAATCAATAACACTTCTCAAAGTAAAATTACTAGAAATTAACATATTTTAAGGTAAGCGGAATGTTTACCTAGAAAGTGCTCAATAGATATCTGGAGTGACTACATAAATTAATAAAAGATCAATCGATTTACCAACTTAATGGTAATTTTGATTTTGAATATTATGATAGTTTAAGTTTGTCTAATTTTCTAAATTATATAATTACTGTTGGTGAACTTGCAGAGTTTATTAACTTTTCTAAGATTTTTATTTTATAAAAATATATTTTTATAACTGTAATTATATTTAAAACGTCGAACATTTTAACTTTAATATAGTCATATACTGCATCTAAATATTTAAAATGCTGGCATGTTCTTAATGGACTCTAGCATAGGACAAATTTGAAATTTGCTTGGAGTCTATGACTAGCATTTCTTACGTAGAGTATAAATATGATATATGTATGATATCTAGCAATAATTCAATGGCTTTATCTGAGCCTGATGAGCAGTGTATCCATGAAACTTTGAAGTCAGGCAAAAGATAAGTCAGTTGAACTTTTATTTATCTATTGTCTGTCTATCTATAATTCTAATCTATCTATTTATCTATCTATCTATCTATCTATCTATCTATCTATCTATCTATCTATCTATCTATCTATCATCTATTTATCAATGTAGCTATCTATCTGTGGCAATCTCTTATCTATCTATCTATCTCTCTCTCTCTCTCTCTATATATATATATATATATATATATATATATATATACACACACACACTCACACAAATTATCCCTTATAATAAAAAACAACTATGAACATCATGACTCCACAGATTTCTTTGTCTCTATTATCTGTGAATTGCCATTGCCATACATTCTTTGGAAAGACAGTAATTTCCCATCGGCTTCTCCAAATTTAGAATTCAGAGTTTTCCTTCTCTTAGACTGGTTGCCACTCAAGGCTAGAGTGCTCAGTCTATCCTGAGAGAGGGGTGCATTCCCAAGAGAATGAACTTAGCAGATGAGGTCAGAATTTGAATATTGCACACTATTTGCACTTTCTATGTTGTAAGTTTATACTACACATCTAGCCAAAATTCTTTTTTGCAAAACCTTTAAAAATACAAAATGGAATTGTTTATAAACACAGATTCATAAACATGATTAGGTTCTTGACAAATAAATTCAACATTTTTTCATATTTGAATAGGTATTATTGCTTTGCCAAAAAAATGTGACAAATAGCTCACATGCTGATAAATCAATACAAGTTACTTTTCTTGCATAAGATATATTTTTAAGAACCAAAAGAATTTGATCTGAAAGACAAAAAACATGTTCAAGATTTTTCATTGTAAACCGACTGTTAATGTAAATGTTTTTTTAAAAATCAGATATAAAGAAAGAAAAATCTGATAATTATCTTGTATGTTTTTAATATTAAATTTTGTATTTTACTCCAGCGACAGGTCAGCCATTACACATGAGGAACTCAAGAATGCCGAGAAAGGAGAGGATGACAACACTTCATCTCAGACCAGCTCTGAACAAAGTGTGGGAGAAGCTGAATTTGAAGAAGTGGAACTGAGGTAATGCATACAAATTAGGGGTCATTTTTGTTTTGTTTTTTTAAATTGACTGATATCACATCATCATCAATCCTATAATTGGGTGTGGTTGTAGCTTGCTGCACAACTAAGCACCTGACCAGTTCCATTTGCATATCTGGTTGAAAGCCAGAGAGGTCCATTCATTTATGTGTAGCATCTTGGATAAATAGACCTTAATGGAGCCGATCATTCTCCAGGTCAAACCACAGCCAATGTCCTCCAGCTTGACACATGACTGTTTATTCTATTGGGGGAATGTTCCATCCTGGCCATTGACTTAAGTCTAGGAAGCCCTCCACCCAGATATGACATCACACTGGCTGCACGGTTGTGGAGCCCTGTCTACCTCATTGTGTTAGATGTACTCTACCAAAATCTTCATTGCCTTTTGACAGGTCCACTCTTTTCACTAGAATAGCCTGGTGGGCGAACTGGTTTAGTTGTCTATTTTCAACTATGTGGCAAGTAGTATTTGGTTACATGGCATCAGTTGCAATTATTTATTGACATGACTTTCACTCCTAATACAGAAACACTAAAATTGATAGTCTGTTATAAGATGCAACTTGAGCCTTGTTAAATTGAATATAACAAAAGACCTACATTTGTTTTGTTATACTAATGTAAAATGTTGTATCTAGTTTCTAGTTATAACAGGTTTATTCTGTAACTCCTGGTATTGATGAAGTCATGCAAACATAGGTGGGTGGATCAATAATTCTGTAGCCTAACATACAGTTATTAGTTGAATTTTGATTTAAAAATTTACCCTGTATAATGCCACTAAGATGCAAGGGATTACAGTAAGTGAAAGAGAATAAGAAGGCTTTGGCTTTAGTGAGAAGAAAGGACAATAAAAGAACAGAGGATGGTGATTAGCAATAAATCAGTATCCTAATGGTGATAGAAGCATTTATTTTACATTTTTATATATATATATATATATATATATATATATATATATATATATATATATATATATGTATATGTATGAGTGTATTTAAGCAACAATTTTTCATGCATAAATTTTTGGTTAAAGACTAGCACAAGCTCCTTGTTAAGAATTTATTTTTCACACCATTTTCCTTGTTTCCAGTTCATATTTAAATATAAATTGTTGCGTATCTAATATTATCGAAGAGTTCTTGCCTTTTGTGCTATGTCAGTTTTATTGTTTTTTTAAATATTACATCTCTTGATGGCAGTTCATATCATGTCACTTTTTTGTTATTTATTTAGGAAATATTTAACTTCAATATTTACACATATTGATAATTTTAATTATTATTTATTGACATATCATATATTCTCAAGCTGAAATTCTTTGGTAAGTTCATAATAACAATTATGGAGCAGTAAACTTTCAAAGTTGTAGAAAAAATATCAAAGATTTTTAATAGATCACTAATCGGTAATTTTCTTATGCGTTTTTATATCATTGTAGACCTGTTACAGCAAAACCTGATTGGGTGGCTCCGGATATAAGGTGGGCTGTACCTCCAAATGCCCTTACAGTGACGCATGTCAATCAAACACATGATTTAGTGGCAAGTATATTTTTAATATTTTAAGGTCATTACTTTTCAAATCCTATTGCTTTGATATACAAAAATAAATTGCAGCCAAGAATAAAATGCCAACAAATGACATTTTTAATCTAATATTTATGTATTACTTTAAAAGTATACGCAGTATACTATAAAAAGAAAAGAAGAATTTCCCCAATAAAACTCACATTTATATAGTTACAGTCTTTAACTTTGAGTAAAAATAAATTTATTACATGACTTAATATGAATAAAGCAGATTCGAAATAGCATGAATCAATATTTTATATATATATACATTTGGGCACCAACCTTTCTTTTTAATATATTTTGTTAAATAAGAGAAATATAACTTGTTTTCATGCCAATACTCTTGGGGAATGTATGAATCCATCTCTTTTCTATCACTCCCCCAGCTATGGGTTAAATAACAGCATAGACTGAGTGCACGAGATTTGGGCAACAACTATACACACACTACAGCTAAGGTTATAAATGTTTTCTTTCCTTTTTTGTGAGTTCTCTATCTGTGTACACACAGATATATTTTTCTCTCATCTTGAATTATGTTGTTTTATGTATAAATGCATATTAAGAAAAACACGTGTTGAATTAATTTATTTTGAAAGTTTTCAACCTCTTCTCATCACAAGCATTAACTATATCCTTCACAAGCTGGTAACACCTCTCAGCTACAACCATTAATTTAATGAAGAATACTATGTATTTACAATATGCGAACAATATAAAGATCAGCAGACAATTTGTTTATTCTATTAAATGACTCTTGTCACCAAGTAAAAATTTGTAAAAATCAATATTTATTTTACTAACAATTTCATGTTATTTTATAATGCATAATAAGAATTTATTCTAATATTGATTTGTAGCATTTTGAGGGCACTGAACACAAAAGCTTTAATTGCAATATATTTGCAACATTCTGTTTACTAATTATTTCTAAAATATTTCTATTCACACATACATACAACCAGACATCTCTTTATTAATTCCTAATTAGTTTAATTATTACAATTACAGTTATCATAAACATTAAGAAAGCAAAAATAGATGAATTTAGGATTCTCTCTCTCTCTTTCTTTCTCTCTCTCTCTATCTATCTATCTATATATATATATATATATATAGAGAGAGAGAGAGAGTGAGAGGTGGCCTCTTTCAGAAGTTATGCAGCATGAGGGCCTAACATTTCAATTTTAGAACTAAACTAACAAACAAACTACCTGCATATTTGATTTGATTACAGTGGTGAAGGCTCATGAGACATGGTACAGGCTGTTTGCCAACCAAGACTAGAGAATTCAACTCAAATTCCAGCCATCTAAAAATGTCAGAATTTAGTCAAATAAATCTTGCTTACCATAGTGATAACACACATTCTTAACAATGACTGTGATAGACAGAACTACTTCAATATTGCAAAAAAAACATTAACTTTGGACAATTTATACATGATTACAATCCCTATGTATCACACCTCATTTGAAAAGGAAAATATAATAAAAAATTGAAGACAGACTTTATCGGTAGATTTTAATAAAACTTGTTTGAAGATATGTATGATGGTGGGATTTCCCATCAGTTATGACACATGAGGGCCTAACAGTTCAGTTTTAGAACTGAACTGCCAGACTACTTACTCATGATTTGATTATAGTGGTGAAGGCTCATGTCAAAGCAGCCACACTTTTGAAAGAAACCATAACAAAGAAGTGGTGCACAATGGGCCATGAAGTATCCAAAAGATGTTCCTACTTTTAGACTGGTTGCCAACCAAGGCTAGAGTGTTCACTCTGCTATTTAACCCATAACTGAGAAGTGCAAAAGTAAATTCAACAACTTTGGCCAGACTTTGAGCTCAGCATGCAGACTCCACTTTCTGTGCATCTGTAGTCTACTGAAGTGTTCATCTATTTTCAGGTTTCGACTTTCACCATCTGTACAACTAAGGCACTGTCACCGGTTCTTAAGCCAAAAGTAGGCAATAGTAGGTTTTTAGATGGTTCCATTTCAAGTTCAGACCTTACAGCATTGGCACCATTTCTATGTCCTTAACATAGATAGAAATTTTTAGGGTGGTTCCATCTCTGGTAGGAATGTCTTGTACTTGTCATATGAAAATTTGACATCACATCTCTGACATTTTGATGGTTTTCATCTTTTGATTCACAACTTCTTTCATCTTCCTTCTGTCCCACTCCTTTTACTGATTTTCTCCATGACATGTTTTAGCAGAAAAAAAAATTGACAATAGACATGATATGGGGGAATATGATACATAAACTCTATATATCAAACCAATGGTGGATAATTGAATAACAAAATCAAAAAATCAAAAGACTTCTTCAGACTAAATAATGTTTTTAATTGCTATATATAGATGTAGGAAGAGGGAACACAATACAAACAAATGTTGGTTAAAATTATAACTCAAGAGAAACATTGAAAATGCAGGGACACTTAATTTTAAATTTCTGTTGTTTAATGTTTATATGATAGACATAATATAAAATGCAAAAGTAAATTAAATTTGCCTTTGGAGTATAATAAAAAATGGCCTATGATAATATCATCCTACATTCTATACAAATGTTGTATAAGGTGGCTGTGTTGTATGAGAAGTTCATGAAGATGTTATGTTTATTCAGGCCACAACATACAGTTATAGAGTGTGGCAAAAATATATTATAATAATTTGATTTGGGGCAATTATCCCTGCCTCATCTTTGACATGCTATCATTGACAAACCAATTTCATGTTAAATTATCTTACATTACACAAAATAATTTCATGAGCTATAAAATGCATAATTGAATTCTACATTATTCATTAATTTTATATTTCAGTAATATTATCATTATACATAAAACTTGCATATATCTGGGATAGTGATTCTGGGATTTCAGTAACCACCTTTGTGTCACACATTCCAAAGTACTGGGAGATTGGTTAGATAATTGATGTTATGGAATAACCTGTCACTCCCATGAGTGACTAAACTAGAGGTAGTAACTACCTATAAGTAGCTGTAAGTCAATAGACTACAGGGACTAGCCGAAATCTTTTCAGCTAGACAGTCGAACTCTCTACCTCTGAGCAGAGAGGAACCTGGACGAGGCTCAGCTGAAGGGCAGAGTCTTGTTCAGGGAGGTTGACCAACCCGATCCCATTATGCAAGTTCTATGGTCATTTTTTTGCCGAGCCTACAGGCTCAGAGAACCCATGTCAAACCTGGCCTTGTGCCACATGCAACACTTGTGGTGGGGTGGCTAAATATACTAGCCAAAATCTTTTTTGGTGTGCTGGTCAAACTCTCTGCCTTTGAACAGAGAGGAACCCGGACGAGGGTCTGCCAAAGGGCAGAGGTTGACCAACTTGATCCTGTTTATGCGGTTTCTACGGGGAATTTTTGGCCGAGCATATGGGCTTGGATGACTCACATTAAACTCAGCCTTGTGCCACATCTACCCTTGTGTGAGGGCTAATAAATATTGACTAGCTGGGATCTGAGTATGACTCAGACTTACTTCCAATAGTAACACTCACTACTGGATTGCCTTGTGATGACCTTGTGCATAACTGTTACCTTTATTTTTATTGTTCTGGTTTTTACAATAAATCTTTACTTATTTTATCCACCTTCCTTTTCAAGTATATATTCCTATTAGCATGGAATATAACAATAATATATGTCTGGAAAGTTCTTTCAAGGTCATGCAATAAAGTAAAAGTACTAATAAAAAAAAGATAAGATTCAATTTTATTGCACAAAGAAAGAAAAAACTTAATCACAGTCAGGGGTCATACAATCATTGTAAATTCTATGATTCATTCATTAGCTGCATAGTAGTATTTTCTTTGCAAGGGCTACATCTAATTTGGATGGATAACTGCTTTGGAATACCAAGTGCTGTAAGCTTGGATGTGCAGGTGGTGCAATGGATTATGGCTTGGAATTGTTAATTGAAGAACTGAGTTTGAATTCCTGTTGGGTTTGTTATATTCATTTATGCACAAATACCCTTGGGAAAGGTACAAATCCACCTCTTCTCCTTTCAGCTATAACTTAATTAGTAAGACTTTTAGTGCTAAACCATTATTTTATCAAAAAAAATCATTCTTACATTCTAAAAATATTTTCTGGCTTTAAATAATCTGTGAAGAGTAGGTAAGCCATAGAAAATCAATCACTCAATCAATTAATCAATTAATGAACCAGTCTGCCACTATTTTTGATTTGTGACATGGTGTGTTATCCTTCTGGATGAGGCCACCAGCAGATGAGTGTATTGTATTCATAAATTGAGACACGTGCTCAGCTGCAATACCTGTTGTATGTGGTATTTAAATATTTTATCAGTACCAAGAGTTTTAAATCAACAAATCAACCATTCGCCCTTGCATGGAGTATTGCTGCCATATATGGTCTGGAGCCCCTTCTGTTTGTCTTGGGGTTCTTGATAAGATCCAGAGATGGATATGCAATATAATTGGCCCTGATCTGGCATCTCGCCTGCAGTCGCTCTCTCACAGATATGCCGTCGCCTCTCTCTGTCTTTTTTACAAATACTTTCATGGTAATTGCTCCAATGAGCTGCTTTCACTGGTTCCAAGACTTCGCGAATTCAAGCGTCCTACGAGGATGGCATCCTGCTCTCACCCTTTCACTGTTGAAACTGTTAAATGTAGCCACCTCTTCTACTCCAATAGCTTCATGTCTCGCACCTCTCGCCTGTGGAACTCCCTTCCCTACTCCTGTTTCCCTGATAGCTTTAATCTCCAACTATTCAAATGTAATGTCAGTCGACATTTCCAGTCGCCTTGATCTATCCACTATCCTTCTCCTCATCCCCTCCACTATCATTCCTATCTGCTCTCGCTCCAAATCCTCTGTAACCCCTTGTGTGCTAGTGGCTTCCCACCTTGCTAGGGGTGAACTGCTTAAAAAAAAATATATATATATGCCAAGAAAATATTC